ACGGCCCTCTAGCCTGCCGGTTTCCAGGTTGAGGGATATGCTGAGCTGTTTCTGCAGGCTTCCAGAAGCCAGGCCTCCTGTGTTTACTCACTACTTGCAGACCTAACTAGGGCAGGATGACCAGACACAGACTGTATTTGAGGAGAAAGTGCAGTTCACTAAACACTTATAAAAAATACCCAACACATATGTGATTGTTTATTTTTTTGAGGAAAGGGAAGAGATTCTCTATGTACTTTTGGATAACAAAAATTTCATCGGTAGTTATGCTAATAACTAGCAGAACGAAACAGAAGCTGCATTTGCGGAATTTGGTCACAAATTTGAGGCAACTGTAGGCTGTATAGCAAGCTCCAAATTTGCCCAGCGTACACAGTAAGAGACTGTCTAACAGAAGGAGGAGAAACAGAATTTTTATTGCTCTATGCCAGTTTATGTATTGAAATACCAAGCACTGTTCTTTCATAATTAAATGTATCCAAATATCGGACTGGGAGATGGTTTGGTGTGTAATATACTTGCTATACAGTCATGAGGATCTGAGTTTGGATCTCTATAATCCACGTAAAGCCAGATGTAATAGCACATACCTGTAATATAAGTGCTCCTTTGGCAGAATGGGAGGTTGAGACAGGAGAATCCTCAGAAACTTGTGGGCCAGCTAGCATAATGTATAGAGAAGCAAACAAGAGACCCTTTCTCAAATGATATAGAAGGCAAGCTCTGATAACCAAAGATTGTTTATGAACTGTACATAACCTGTAGTGTGTGCACCTGCATGGAAATGCAAGCTTGTATGTGCATGCACACACGATTGCACACGCACGTGCGTGCATACACAAAGACTAAAGACCATTTCCTAGTTGAACTATGACATTTTTTTAAAATGAAGTACACCCAATTTGTTGTACATTTGTGGCAGATAATTTCAAGAAAAGTTACTAGAGCATCACAGTGAAATAAATCTCTCTTCCTGTTTGCCAGTCTGACTGTGTGTCCCACATTGGAGGAATCAGGAGAGCCTCATTTATAAGTGAATTTCTTTTTTTGTTAATTTATTTTTAATTTCATTTAACATTCCATTCACAGTTTACCCCCACCACTGCCTCCCCCACATTCCTCCCAGCCTAAACCCCATCCATTCCTCCCAACAGGTAAGGGCTTCCATGGGAAGTCAACAAACTCTGGCCAAAGCCCAAGTGCATCCCCCCTGCATTAAGGCCAAGTGTGGCATCCCACCATAGGGAATGGGCTCCAATAAACTAGCTCACGTACCAGGAAGACAGATCCTGGTCCTGGTCCTACTGACAGGTGCTTCACAGATAGTCCAAGCTTCACCACTGTCTCCCACATGCAGAGGGCCTAGTTCAGTCTCACGGAGGCTCCGCAGCTGTCGGTCTAGAGTTTGTGAGTTCCCACAAGCTTGCTTCAGCTGTCTCTGTAGATTTCTCCATCATGATCTTGACCTCCCTTGCTCATATATCCCCTCCTCCCTATCCTTGATTGGATTCCCAGAACTCAGCCCGGTGCTTGATTGTGGATCTCTGCATCTGCTTCCATCAGTTACTGGATGAAGGTTCTATGGTGACAATTAAGGTAGTCATCAATCTGATTACAGGGGAAGGCCAGCTCAGGCACCCTCTACACTATTGCTTGGAGTCTTAGCTGGGATCATCTTTGTGGATTCTTGGGAATTTCCCTAACACCAGGTTTCTCCCTAACCCCATAGTGGCTTCCTTTACCAAGATCTCTCTCCATTGCTCTCTCACTTCATCCATCTCCCCCTCGACCATCTCATTCCCTCAAGTTCTCATTTTCCATCACTTTCCCTTCACTGCCCCCCCCCAAGTTTACTCAGGAGATCTCATCTAATTCCCCATCCCTGGGTGATCCATGTGTTCTTCTTAGGGTCCTTCTTGTTACCTAGCTTCTTTGGAGCTGTGGATTATGGCCTGGTTATCCTTTGCTTTACATCTAATATATACTTATGAGTGAATATGTACTGTGTTTGTCTTTCTAAGTCTGTGTTACTTCACTCGTCAGTGGATTTCAAATCTGTTCTGGCCACCTAAGAATGGGTACAACTAGTCAAAGAAATGCTGGGTGTGACTGGGCCAGTAGGTGGCATCAGATAACACAAAATCTCCTCAGCGTTTTGAATGGCTGGCCAGCTAGGCAGTAGATGTATCTATTTCTTATTAACACAACCTCAGCTGCATCCAGCATCTGAAATGGTAATTAGCCTGGTGCCGTTGATACCCAGATTTGTTGAGGGTCTACCAGGAAATTCAGAGGGTGTGAAAACGATCATGTGCGTTTTAGGAGAATTTCACTGTCCCTGGTAGGTATTGGAACCTTCAGCGATTGCATATAGGAATAGAACTCTTTTGTTCTCAGTTTTGTATGGCAAGTGCATTTTTTCCAGTTGAGCCATTTTGCTAGCCCCATGTATTTCTCCTTTTAAGGATCTTCTGTATTTTTTCTTTAATTTCTTCATGGCTTCACAGAGCATAGTCCATTATTCATGCATAGTTCTCAAAGATGTGAGCTGAGAGATGCATTTTGTCCTACTTTTCTTCATTGCTTACCTCTAGCCTTGAAGAACTTCTAGCTCCTTGCACATAAATATAATCCTAGGTGCTGTGGAGAACGCTCTTCCATAGCATCTTGATGTGTTAACTAGTGACTCTTCCATGGCTTTCCTCAGAGAAAACATTCTGAGACAACCAAGAAGGCACCGTCTTCCTACAACCATGCTCAGATTCCCTAGAGTATTATTTCTTCCCATTTATTAAGAGGAAGGGAGGGTGGAAAGAAAGGGAAAAGGGGAAGGAAAAGCAAAGCAAAGCAGCTTCATTCTGTTACTGGAACTTCTCACCTTGAGCTCACACTGAAGGGGAAGGGTCGCACAAAACCAGCTAATGGAAGGGTAGCAAAGATGCCATAGACATTTTAAATCTCTTACAACAAATTTATTGCTACTATTTTAGAATTTTACTAAGAGCAGTTTTTTTTTCCTGGACATTGCTCTCCATGACATGGACTAGTATTTCAGGGCTTTTTAGTGAGGAGGTAGAAATAGTATCATCATGGATGAGGCGTCTCCCTCCCTCCCTCCCTCCCTCTCGCCCTCCCTCCCTCCCTCCCTTTTCTGAGACAGGGTTTCTCTGTAGCTTTGGAGCCTGTCCTGGAACTAACTATGTAGATCAGCCTGGCCTCTAACTCACAAGAGATCCACCTGCCTCTACCTCCTGAGTGCTGGGATTAAAGGCGTGTGCCACCACTGCCCGACTGACATTTTCTTTACTTAGCCATATTTTTCCTCCCCTCTGCCCTCATATTCAGCCGGTCTAGTTTATTTATCTCACCAGTTAACCAAAAAAATGAAAATAATGTAACATGAAAAACCAGCAGACAACAAAGAGCATGTGGTTAGAGCCTTCCTTATGAAGATTTTGAGGAATTCTATGAGGTACATTTCTGCTTTTATAATTTCTTAGTTCTGAAGTATAATGAATTTGTCTGTTTTATTCCTTTTCTAGTTCCTGGAAAATCATTACAAAGTCAACATATTTTTTTTACACCTTGCATACTTATTGTTATAGATTTGTGTTATAACGTTTTTTTTTTTTGGTTTTATCTTGGTAAATAATTTCTCTTTCCACTTTCTATTCATTCTCTATGGATTTTCTGTCGTGTGCCCCGGTTCCATTCATCTCCCTGTTCCTCCATATCCACCATCTGACCTTGCAACCTCCCCATAAAACAAAACAAACAGATTAACGGACAAACAAAAATAAATCTCACTGTGGACGCTGAGGGTGTCACACTGTACATTTTTGTCCAAACAGCTTTACTTGCAAGTGTTCATTGCAATGAGTCATTGAAGTAGTTCAAGGCTTCTACAGGACTAGCCCCTACACAGGTTCTAGCAGGTCTTGGTTGGAGCAGCTGTTGGGGGATTGGGCCAACTCAACGACCTGGATCTGAGTCTAGGTGGTAGCTGAACCAGGGCCAGCTCTCCTGCTTTGCCCAAAGGAGGGGCGGGGCCAGCTCTCCTATTTGTGGCAGCTGGCAAGGGGTGGACCTGTGGCAGCTGGCAAGGGGTGGGACCGCTCTCCTGTGCTCACCCATGGTGGCAATGGTCATGGACACTGGGCACGTAGTTGGGTGTTATTTTCCAGGCTGCCCCAGCCCACGGGGGCGGGCCAGGCTGAAAATATTCTTTATTGTATAGCACTCTTTAATATTTTGGCCTGTAGGAGAAAATATGTAATCTCTTATTTACCTAAAGGTGTTCAGTGTTTTTTTCCCCATTGTTTACTGGCTGAAAAATTGTCTACTGTGAGTTCATTTCTTTCTTAAATTGGAGAAGTAAAGATACCCTCATGTAGTGACTTTGAAGTCAAAAGGACCTTCTGTGGGTCTTCATGTGTGTGGCATTTCCCTGAAGGTATTTTGTTGTTGTTGTTGTTTCAGGGGTACTGGAAATCAATCCCAAGGCCTCATGCATACTCCATCTTTTAAAAGTGCACAAAGCAACAACAACAAAACAAAATAAGAGCTAGAAATGTACAAAACTCTGGGTTCCATCCCCATCAGTACATAAAACTGTGCATGGGGGTCCACTTGAAGACTCAGGAGATGGAGGCAGGCAGATCAGATATTCAAGGCTAACCTGGGGTACAGGAGACATCTCAAAAGCTTAGAGAATTTCTAACGGGCAAACAATAATCATACCCATTTATGGAAGAGTAAATTAAAAAGACTTAGGGCTGCTTTAGAGCCTGTGATTTCCACTCTACAACATGGCAGCTTGGTCATTAACAAACATCAGAAATAACGTGCATGACCATATCTAAGAGGAAGCAGTTGTAAGACATGCTGTGTATCGGGTGCCAGCAGACGCCACTAGTTTCCTCTGTTGGATTCCTACTGAGGTGCCAGCCAGGAAAGTGTCCAGGATGCAAAGTCCCTCAGCGTCTGCATTTTTTTTCCAGGAAGAGCGATCCGAGTTGGAGGCCTCACTCCTGGCATGCCACCAAGGTCTCTGATACCTACCCAGAGCCAGCAGCCTCACTGTTTCTGAGCACCAGTGGGTCCCCTTCCTGGAAGAGCCAGCACCAGGCTAGGTGAGTATTCTTTCCCTGAGACCAGGCACCATGTGTGATCTGTATAACTGTCACGTTCTGTGAATACTCAGACATTCCCACGAGTGTCTTGACTTCTGAGTAGTCAAGACCACCTCTGCTCAGTTAAGATTAGAACTGAATATTTCACAGCAGGAAAACAAAATGAAATGGCTAGACAAAGGATGAACAAGCTTGTTTTCTCTTGTGGTATTTCTTGTAGCACCCTGCATCTTTGTGATGAAGGCAGCTTGGTAATGGTGGATAACCTTTTGGATGTGTTTTTTTTGTAATTGGATTCAGAGGTATTTTATCGAGAACTTTTGTATCCATGTTCTTTCAGAAGTAATTCTCTTTTTTGGTTGTGTCTGTCCAGTTTTAGTATCAGGGGGTTGTTAGCTTCATAAAAAGAATTTGGAAATGTCCTTGCTTTAATATTTTATGGACCATTTGAGAAATATTGATGTTATTTCTTGGATGGTTTGATAGAATTTTACACTGAATCCATCTGGCCCTGGGTTTTTGTAAGTTGGAAGATTTGGAAGGGCTTCAAGACATGGTCTCACTATGTAGTCTTGGCTCTCCTGGAACTAGCTCTGGAACCAGGCTGGCTTTGGAACTCACCGAGATCTTCCTGCCTCTGCTTCCCGAATACTGGGATTAAAGGTGTGCGCCAGCACACCCATCTGAACCAGAAGATTTTTAATTGTTGTTTCAATCCCATTGGATGTTACGAGTCTGTTTAAGTTATTTTGTGAGAGGGCTTAGTGAGATAAGATGACTTGAGCTCTATCCCTGGAAACACAGAGAGACAGAAGGAAAGAACCAATTCCACAAAAACCGTTCTCTGATCTCTACACATATGGCATGATCTACACACAATAATAAAAAATAAATTAAAAAAATTAAAAAACTAGGAACGATTCTTAGTTCATGAAGTGCCATTTCGCAGTCCCTAACCATTGAAGGACCACAGAAATATTAATTCCGGCACTGCCTGCATCAGAGTCTTTATTGGGTTGAGAAAATGTAGTAGCATTGAAAAGAATATTAAAAAGGTATCCAGAAGGTTAACAGTCAGTGTGCCCTCAGAAATGCCTTTCCTCCCCAGTTCTCAATTCAGCTACTGTTGAGCATCCTCATCCTTCTTAGCGTATGTTCACAGTGCTGTTTTCCTGACATCTTGCTGTTTGCAAACCTTTTTTTGTGTGTGCTTTTCCTTTGTAGTTCTTCCTCCCACGATTTGTCCAGCTCATGGGAGCACACAGGCCTACAGTGCACTGCTGAGCACTTCAGCTCTGTGGGCAGCTTAGACAGCCTGGACCGCAGCTCCCAGCTCTCCCCATCTGGACACTTGGGTGGCCACGGCAAGCGAGATTCTGCTTACGGTTCCTTTTCTACCTGTCCCGGCACCCCTGACCACACCTTGCCCAGGGCTGATGCCTCTTCCACTGAGAACATTCTCTACAAAGTTGGCCTCTGGGAGGCCTCCAGGCCAGGCAGCAGCCGACAGAGCCAGCCTGCAAGTGATCCTCAGGGATTACAGGACAGGCCTCCATGTTCCACACTCAGGGTTTTTAGTAACAGCAGGAAAAGCCCAAGGCCAGAGGATAATGTTGAGCCGAAAACAACCACTTCTGGAAGATCAAATTTTGGGCCTGTTTGGTATGTTCCTGACAAGAAAAAAGCCCCTTCTCCTCCCCCATTTGCAGCTCCTTTGCTCAGTGATGGCTTTGCTGTGGCAGCTGGAGGCCGTGAAAAGACACGGGACCCTCCATTTTCAGACTTTGCCACCCAACCCCGAGGGGCCCATAGACTGGAAATGACTGATGGACAGTGTCGGCTGGCACACCCAAGCAGTGGCAAAGAAACAGGAAGCTTGGGTTACCAGCAAGAAGGCCACCTGGATTACCATTGGTTATCCTCAGATGATAGAGTGGGTGGATCCTCAGGGGTCCCGGGCAGGCACCACTTGTCCTTGTCCAACACAGATGTCCACTTCCTGACGTCTTACCGTGGGAGCCAGCAGAGACGGCAGTGCACCGATGAGAGCCCAAGGGTCCCCTCATCAATGGGGGAGCCGCCTCAGAGGACTCCTGGTGGGGGTTTGCAGGAGCCTCCTGAACCCTCCCGGAATGATGCGCAGGTGAGATGGTCTGGTTCTGCCAACCAGAAGCTGGATGATAGAGGGCGTGGCCATTATTTCTGTGCACCCCCCAGGCAGCCTGTGCAGGTGTGTGCCCAGGTTGTGACACCCCGAGGTGACTTTGGGCATTCAGACACACGTTCTGTGGACCTTGACAATCCTCTCTTGCCCTCGATGGGCCAGAGGTGCTATCTACAAGAGCCTGAGGAGATACTGGCCTCTCACGAAAGAGAGGGATATCATCCACGGGATGCAGGGATTGAAGGTTCCTGCTCAGGGGTCCAAGAGCCTCTTCAAGCCAGCCACACTGTGAAAGCCAGGTCGCAGTGTCCTGATGGTGACCTCAAGTCGGTGGATGGAGAACGTGGGAGGATTTCTCGTGAAAGGACACCCATGCTGCACTCTCTGACCCAAGGTGGGGCATGGAGACCCGAGAAGCCACCGCCGCTTGACGCCCAGGTGGGTAGACCCATGCGAAGGAGTGACCGTTTTGCCACGACACTGAGGAATGAGATCCAGATGCGCAGAGCGAAGCTACAGAACAGCAAAAGCACTGTGACACTTGCTGATGACTGGAGAGCTGATACGGGGGCTGTCCCGGAAGGTTCCTTCCCCAGCACCTATAAAGAGCACCTGAAAGAGGCCCAGACACGTGTCCTGAGGGCCACCTCCTTCCACCGCCGAGATTTAGGCCCCACCCCAGCAGATCAGTATCTGGGACAAGCAGAACACAGGACTTGTGACCGTACTGCCTCATCTTCTTTATCTTCCCCTGGGGAGCCAGACTCTGTCCCCAGCCTCTGGGAAGCAGGTCTGGCCAAGCCACCATCTTCTGGTGGTGGTGTGCCCCATCTTCTTCGAATCGGAGGCCGGAAACGGTTCACAGCGGAGCAGAAGCTGAAGTCCTATTCTGAGCCAGAGAAAATGAACGAGGTGGGTCTGTCAGGGGACCACAGTCCGCATCCTAACGTCAGGACACCTGAGGATACTGTGGGGACATTTGCTGACAGGTGGAAGTTTTTTGAGGAAACAAGCAAATCTCTTCTCCAGAGGCCAAGCCACAGGCAAGCTCTCTGTGGGCTTTCAAGAGGCAAGGCTGAGAGGCCACAGACAGGGGGCCGTGAATGTGAGGGTACAGAGTCCTGGTTCCAGAAGAGGTCACGGGCCACCTCCTGTGGAGAGATCCTCAGTGATGATGGACAAGGAGAAAAAGCTTCTGAGACATTGAACCCACCCAGAAGGCTTGGAACCTTTGCAGAATATCAGGCGTCTTGGAAGGAAGCCAGGGGTTCCGGGAGGTGTCATTCAGCAGATGACATTCTGGATGCCGGTCTAGACCAGCAGCAGAGGGCACAGTACATCCATGAACGGTCCCGGTCGTCACCGCCCACTGATCGCTACTCACAGGTAAGCAGTGTACTGTGTGCCATGGCCTCGCTTGTACCACCTGAAGACACTTAGGGCGTACCCAGCATGTATGAGGGCTCAGTGAGGTGCGAGAGTGTCATTTGTAGTTTAAAGATAAGGGAATGAGGGGCTGGAGAGATGGCTCAGTGGTTAAGAGCACTGGCTGCTCTTCCAGAGGACCTGGGTTCAATTCCCAGCTACCACATGGTGGCTCACAACCACCTGTAAAGAGATCTGGCGCCCTCCTCTGGCGTGTGGTATAAATGGAGGCAGAAAGTTGTATACATAATAAATAAATCTTTAAAAAAAAAAAGAAAGATAAGGGAATGAAATTGCTTCCTTTGTGCAAACACATCTCTTTCATCCCCAGCTCCCCGTCCTAAATTTCACTTCACTGTAATATTAATTTCACTGAAATGCTGTAATATTAACAGCCTCATTTTCTTGTTAAAAACAAACTACTAGTAATTTTCTTAGAAGATAACCTCCATGCTGTACACGGAAGGAGAGTTGCTTGCTTGCTTTTAGCATTTGGTACTGAAACTCCACGCAGACCCAGGGAGAGCTTGCTTCTGCCACTGCTACATTCTGACTTACCCACACACAGTTCAGTGTGATCTCTGAGAACTCCATGCCTTCTCTGTCAGGAGTCAGAATCCCAGCCCCCACAAGTCCTAGCGTGTGAGGTTTTGCAGTCATGACTTGTGGCCAGCTGTCTTTTATTGTGTTTCTTTTGGCCGATTGTGTCACATGGTAACAGCCCTCATGTAGGAGTCCTGTTTTCTGCTCAATACAGGAGTCCCAGGTCAGTGGTCTCAATTAAACGTCTTATGGAGTTGAACAGCCGTGTCCTGTGACCAGGTCTCAAGTCTGAGACAACAGGCCTTGCCAAGGGCGTTGTGGGACAGGCACACAAAGCAAACCCACAAATGAGGGGTTTCATAATAACAGTCGTCTCAGGCATGAAGGCAGCTTGATGAGTCTGTGTCTCATGGTGTCGCTCTTCACAGGAAGTGCCTGTTGAGCCAGACAGGCAGCCAGAGGACTCTGGCGGGCACAAAGGAGTACCACAATGTACACTGCAGGCTGACGAGGGACGTTCTGCTCCAAGGTGGGTGAATTGTGGTTGCTGAAAAGTTGTGTTGAGTGTGAACGTATTTATGGAAGGTGAATGGGATGTTAATAGGACAAGTCTTGGTTTTGCTAATCGAGTGTGATTTCCACCATCACTAAGATCTTAGAGTTTTTAAGCGAGAGATCCCATGGGTTCTGCAGCCCTGCCCAGAGAAGCAGGGCAGTAATAGCCTTTAGTGTTTCTTAAAGTAGCTGTTGTGTTTTTCTTAGAGTGAAATGCTTTTTTGGGTCAAAATAAATGTCCAGTTTAGCCTCCTTAAACAAAGTCTTTAACTGAAGAGATGCTTTTACTATCTGGCACACAGCTGTGTTTGTAGGCCACAGTCTCAGAATTGTCAGAAAGGATTTTGGTAAAGCTTTCTAAATTGGGCTTGTTTAATGAGTTAACTTGAAGCTTTAAAATAGAAGTCATCTGACTTCCCAGAGAAGGGAGGAGGGCGGGCAAGATCTGTGCTCTTACACTGTTGCCTGCAACAATTCCAGATTGTTGGGGGAGCATATAATAAGCTGTTCAGAGGATAGATTCGATTAGATGTGTATATAATAACCCTGGTGGAAAGATGAAAATCAGCACACACCAGACTTTGTTGAGGGAAGATTTTCCTAATGTTTTATACATCCTATATGGCCTAGCCTACGAGGCAAATTAAACACTGACTTCAAAAGGTCAAGATTCCGCTGTAGAAATAACCAACTTAGATATATGCTTTCAAGAACTTTATGTAACGGTGTCTTATTTCACACGTTTTTACACTAACTGTTGTTATCCGTATTCAAAACTATCCCACGTTTATTTGGTTGCGAAGGGACCAGATTGATACTCTGTGTGCCTGCCTCAGAAATCCCTGCAATTACTTAACAGTCTGCATAGCTAAACTGATGGAAGCCTGCGGAATAATCTGCCTACGGAATTTAACAGTGTCTGAAGAGGACAATTAGAGCTTTATTCCTGGACTCTGAGTCAGTCACGTGCTGAGCAGCAGCTGTGCAGGGTAGGGGGCAGAGAATGTCACCATGGACAGCTATAATGTGCATGAGCTGTGTGTGCACACGTGATTATTTGTGTCCACGGCTCTGTCAGCGCTCACAGGAATAGGAGGAAGGGAAGAGGGGCCTTCTGCCTTATTTATCATGGCTGTGTCTCTCAGCTGGCTGCTTAGTGACTTGAAGAGATTAGTTCCAGAAGCAGCCTGCTTTTGAGTTTCAAAACTAGCAGTTTTTCAGGATTGCATTGTGTGTGTGTGTGTGTGTGTGTGTGTGTGTGTGTGTGTGTTGAAGAGAGGCAAGGATATTGAAATTTTGGAATAGGAATGTTAAAAAGTCATTTTCAGCTTTTCCTAGAGTATATGTTTCTAGAGGATCAACAAGAAATAATATGCTAGAGAAATAAAAGGATCATAAAAATAATAGGCAGTCTAAAATGCAGAAGTATGAAAATACCTAGTGACCTTGCATAGGTTTAAAGTAACATAAACATGTCTCTATGGGAAATTAATTATTGATCTGGTATTTGATACTTGAAATAAAATTTTGTTGCATTCTGTTGAGATCATACAAAATGTTGACATAGGAGTTATTTTTATTTGCTGATTATTAACCAAAGTCCAAACAGAAATAACTTTTTAATATAATTTTAATTTTTTCCTATTTTTTGAGATATAATGTCACTTCCCACTCAGAAATTCCCTGTCTAACACAGGTTGGCATCAGACTTGTGCTGATCCTCCTACTTCAACACTTTCTGGGATGACAGGGATGAGATATCACATCCCACTAATAGCATCTTTTTTGTGCATGTGTGAAGGATAAGCTCCTGCAAGACCATTACCATGTAGTGGGGAAAGAATTACAAGTATCTGTAGCTGAAAGGAAAGTACTTCATTCTTTTTTTTTAACTGTAAGAGCAACATGTGACATATGTCTGTAATCCCAGCACTCAGGAGGCTAAGACGGGAGCTTGTACATTCAAGATGAGCTTTAGACTATAGAACAAAACCGTGTCTCAGAATTAAGAAACAAACATAAAAAGGTACATGGCACATGAGAAATCATTAAAGTCTGTTGGATTAAGGGGAAAACACGTTGTAGCTGGGTAGCCTGACCACAAGGTAGCGGATACAGTGGCATTTTCTCCCTTCCTCCATCACATCTGGTCCCGAGCGGCCCATCTCACATGTTCTGAAGACATTTTTCTTAGAGGTTCCAACCGTCCTCAGAGATTTCATGCTGAATCCTCAAGTTTATTACAGCCAGCTGGGTCTGTTTCTTGCAAATGCATTCAATCACTGATTTGGGAGTCCCTTAAAGACTCGTGTCTGATTTCTCAATGACTGTCATTAAAAAGTGATCTCACAGGGACTGGTGAGATTTTTCAACTAGTAAAGGCCCATGCCACCAAGTCTGCAGACGTAAGTTCCATCCTTGGAATACATAAAGTGAAAGGGGAGAAACAACTCTTGTAAGTTGTCCTCTGATTGTGTGTGTGTATGTGTATAAACAGAAATGCAGTAGAGACATTTTTAATGTCCTATAGCCTGGATAGCTTAAATAGTAAGCACTGATTTCTTCCCAGCCCTGGAGGCTGAAAGATCAAAGGGAGGGTGGTTCCTCCCAATGCTTCTCTAACTTATGTGTAGACTCTAGCTTTACTGTGCCCTCATTTGCTTGCATTGTGTATCTCTGTTTCCTAATCTCCAGTTCTTACAAGGACACCAGCCAGATTCGTTTTTAGTAATCCTACTGACTTCCTTTCTCCTTAATCACCACTCTAAATGTCTTGTTTGCCTACATAGCCATATTCTGTTAGGGATAAAAGATAGAGGTCATCTAGACCATGTGTGCTGCTACTTACTGGCTTGATCCCAGGGCATGATGTGCCCTTTTTTTGTGGAAAGAAATTGTCATGCTAAGTTACTTTCACTTTGTTAGTATGTTCCTTTTTGTGACACCAAATTAATCTTTCCTAATATCTTCAAAGTCGATGTCCATCATACTTTGAACAGAGTTATCCTCTGCAGGCTGGGATACTGGGAGCAGGATTCAATATCATGGATATATTTCTACACCATTGTCCTATTATCTGGACTCCTCCTCCTCGTTCCTGGTGAGCAGTTTGGAAGAATAGGATTTTAATTTTTCTTTGCTGTTTATCACACATGGTTCTTACACAGATTAGGTGCCGAATAAGTGGTTGGTATATGAGTGCATTGGTGAATGGATAGATAGGTGATAAGTGTAGAGATGGGTATTTGAATGGATGAAGGATGGGCACTTGGATGAATAAGCAGAGGGATAGAAGGAGGAATGAGTTAATAAGGATGGGTATTGCATTACGATATATATGTGTGTGTGTGTGTGTGTGTGTGTGTGTGTTTGTGGCTTTTTAATCAGGTTCATTGGGCATGACAGGTAGCAACAGAGAAATCTTAACCTCCACAAACAGGCACAGGCAGAATCAGCAGTTGAAATGCATTTATTGCGGGTGAGGAAACATATATATGAAGCAGACACATAGAGAAAGTAACCCTCTCTGAAGCCTACTGGGGATTCATGAAACAAAAAAAATCCAGACTGTTCTTAACAAGAGAAAAAGCCCACAAGGCTTTGTTTTGAGCTATCAGACTTTTGTCTCAGGTCAGGAGGGTGAGGAAGAAGCAAGCCATCTTGGAAGCTCACTATCTTCAGTACCTAGCTATGGCCTTTCTCCCTACATGATGGCCTGCCAGTGAGTCTTTCTAACTCCCAGGCTCTCAGTTAGATAAGTGGTTGTTTGGATGGATGAAAGAGTAGATAGATGATGGAGGAAGGTCATTGGTTAATTAAATAAAGAAACTGCCTTGGCCCTGATAGGTTAAAACATAGGTGGGAGGAGTAAACAGATCAGAATGCTGGGAGGAAGAGGAAGTGAGGTAAGACTCCTCAGACAGACTCCATAGCTCCTCTCAGAGACACACGCGATGAAGCTCTGACCCAGGATGGACGTAGGCTAGAATCTTCCTGGTAAGCGCACCTTGGGGTGCTTACACACATTATTAGAAATGGGCTAAATTAATATGTGAGAATTAGCCTAGAAGAGGCTAGATAGAAATGGGCCAAGCAGTGTTTAAATGAATACAGTTTGTGTGTTGTTATTTCGGGGCATAAGCTAGCCAGGTGGCCGGGGTGCTGGGGACGCAGCCCCGCCGCTCCTATTACAACAGATAGATGGTTGGAAAATTGAATGGATAGACAGATGGATGGATAGATGGATAGATGGGTGGGTGGTGGATAGATGGATGGATAGACAGATGGATGGATAGATGGGTAGGTGGATGGATGGGTGGGTGGGTGGATAGATGGATAGATAGATGGATGGATGGGTGGATAGATGGATGGATGGATAGACGGATGGATGGATAGGTGGGTGGGTGGATGGATGGATGGATGGGTGGGTGGGTGGATAGATGGATAGATAGATGGATGGATGGGTGGATAGATGGATGGATGGATAGACGGATGGATGGATAGGTGGATGGGTGGATGGATGGATGAGGGGTTTATAAAAGGATAGATAGATCGATGGATATTGGGTGCATAGATGAATGAATGAATAGACAGACGGAAGGATAGATGGATGGACGGAGATCGGTTAATGGTTGGGTGCATGGATGATGGATGAATGAATAGACAGAGAGATGGAAGGATGGATGAGTAGGTGGATGCTTGGGTTGGTAGATGAGTGGTTTCCTATCTTACCTTCCTTGAGTTCTAGATCAGCATTCCATGGTAGTACATGTTCTGGGTTAAAATTTTGCTAAAGATTTTAGTTAGATGCTAGTAAGTGAAATGGGCCATACCATCTGCACTTGATCTAGAGTTAAGTTGTCCAGAAATAAGAAGATCTAAGTGTTTCAGAAGAAATCATGAAACTGACTTGCTTTCCACATTCCTACTTAAACCCCTTAAGAAAATTAATGTAACTAGTTTTGATTGTTGCTC